ACTACATTTAAACTACTCCATTCCTGGTAAAACTTGATTTTCATGTCAACTAATTGTGACAGCTGAATGTAACATTTTTGACAAGCCAAAAATGCCAGTTTCTGAGTAATATCCAATTTATTTAAGCCATGAAGTAAACCTCATTTCATAAAATAATGAACTACACAAAAAGCATTTTAAAAATGTATCCAGCACATTTTATGATACCCCCCCCCCCCAAAAAAAAAAAAAAATCTAAAAGATTTGAATACCTGATTTGAATAATTTGACTTGCATGATGATATAATACATAGGCTATATATATATATATATATATATATATATATATATATATATTAGAGTGTTAACACATACGATTAATTTTTAGTTTAATGCATTAAAAAAAATTAACACAATTAACGCAGCATTCGTTTTTCCCCGTCATTACATTATATGATCTCGCTCTTTTTTATGCACATGTTTTTAAACCATTCAAGCGAGACAAGAAAGAACAGAAGGCGCTGTCTGTGAATGTCCTGACACACACAGTGTGCACAGAAAGATGTGAACCAGAATCAAGTTCTCTTTCACGCTTGACGCAGGTAGCTTTGCAACAGCGGTCATTTGAAGTCCAGGACTTATCTCCCCCACCTTCACCTGAAGTGGTACTTAAATGTACTTAAGTATATCAGAAATGTACAATTTCCTTTGCTTTCACATCAACCAAATGCCAAAAAAACACCCTGCATTTTTGTTCTGATTTTGATTGACTTGAGTTTATGATATAAATGCACCACATGAAGGAAGACCTCTTTAAACAACCAGCATGACCAACAACCAAACCAAATGAAGATGGTTTCTGCACAATTTACATAGTTTCCTATCATTTAGTCTGGTGCACTTGTATGGTTTATAGATTGTGGTCTATACCATGGCAGCTGTGTCAATAATAAGTGTGTTTAGCCTGGAAAGCCATCATGCAATAAAATATTCTAACATCACAACACATGCCTCTCAACTTTGAACATTTACCATCTAATTTATAAAACAGCAATCTGCATTGAAACAAGAATCACATGATAAGTGCAGTCAAGCTCACCTGCTATCTGCAACAAATCTCAAATCTCACTTGCCATATTATGATCAATCACAAAAAACGCATAGGTCAGTATTTCGCTAATGTAGACCTATAGCTACTGCACTGTGTGTAATTAGCCTACTTGTACTTGAACTGCCTGGAAGTAGCGCAGCTTCAACAAACGTAAACAAAGAACTCTTCTAGTTACTTCAGAGTTGTCTACATAACGAAATTCTGGAATAAGCTACAATTTGCGGCATTTAATGCGTAAGATTACGTCTTATTCATTGAGAAGACTGCAGCACTTAATGATTTTCGATGTGACAAAAATTACCTCACATGACAACTTTGTGAAAAACATTTGAGAGGTCATCATTTTAAAACCAGTCGGCCCACACTAGCACCGCCCATGTCTTTCAACAGGCTATCGTTTTATGCTTTGGCGTGTTTCGTGTGTTTTAATAAGTCAAAGGCTACTCACAAACCAACGATAAAATCCCGTCTCGATCTAGACATCCAAGACGCAAATAATCCTTCAAGCTTCAATGAGGTAGTAGGCTAACTGCTGAAAAACGGCTCCCATGTCACGTCACTTCTTTCTTCTTCTTCTTCTTTTTATTGTCACGACCCTTCTTCGCGCACTTTTTTTTTCGTCTGGTCGCGCGCTGTTCCCGCCCCTTCTACTTAAACTGTAAATCAAATAGATTAGAATAGTTTTGTTTTTTTAAGAAATAGCTCAATATGCAGCATCATGATTTATTTTCTTTAAAATCCATATGATTTTAGTTCGATTTAAAGCACCTATAGACGAATCCGACGAGCGTACTTGTGTAGGCTGCCATCTTGTGGCGACGCCATTACTGAGCTGTTACACCGGCATAGACATATGCACCGGTATGTAAACAAACCTCGGAGATAAGGTGATAACGCACCCTCGATGACAGCTACAGCCAGGCAGACTTGTTGGGTTGATGATGTTAGACATTGGCCTCCAGTCACAGATGAAGGTACAAACGATCTTACAGATTATTTATGAAAATAGCTTGGCAAGCTAGCTAGGCTAACGTTTGCTACCGAGGAAACTAAAAAAAGATCTGTCCATTTGGCAACAATAAATAAATGAAATCAAATAAACAATTTCATGTTTTTCATTTGTGTCCATTATTTATCTCATTTTTACATTGCAACGGGCATGGGTAAGGTAACGTTACAGCTAGAAAGTATACATAATATCGACCAACTACTGTTTTTAAACCATGGAAAGAGGTCAATATAACAGCAGGAGAACAATTATGTCACATAACATTACATTCATCTCAGGAAAGCCATTTAATCATGACCATAGCATGTAAATTGAATAGAAAAAATAACAAGAGAGGAGATTTTGCTGATCACTATATCACACATTTATTATATATTTTTTACTTATGTCATTAAATAATTGTTATTATACGCGAATGTCCGCGTCTTGTACTCGCCCAGGAAATCTGTGTAAACGGTACGGCACCAGACAGGGCAGTCGACCCGGAGTATTCACAATGTTTTCTCTTCAAAATTGAAATTTTACTGCCACCATTAAAACAATTTATAACGGAAACTGTTTACCCACTCGACATTATACAAGGGCTAACGTTGTAACGTTAGTGACAGTCGTAAATCGCGAGCTGTTTATTCCAGTGGACGCAAGTTGCAACTAAAACAATAGAAGGCAATGGCGCAACGCTACCCAGCAACAGCTCAGTAATGGCGCCCGCTTACTTCCGGTAGTTTCGCCGGATTCGTCTATAGGCTACATAGCCTAAAGATTTATTTAATTATTTGTGTTTAGGCTATTAGCCTACATTCGTTTTTACAAATTAAGAAATGATATTTAAAAAATCCACACACAAAAAAAAACAGCCCAAAAATAAAAACTAAGCTAACAAATGCTTCTAAAGTTAATATAATAAAGTAATATAAATTAAAATAAATTAAGTTGCCCATTTATGTGCAAAAAAATCCAAAATAACTGTAATTTTACTGAAATACTATTCAATACAGTATGGCAACTTCAAATATGTTAATAAAATGAAGAAAAAAAATATTTAATGATCTACAAGAATTTTGTGGGTATATATTTCATAACAAGCCAATTATAAAAAATAAAAAAAAGAGAGATTTTGTAAGTTTTCAATGGTCCCAAAAGTTATTAAGCATGAATGTTAATGCAAGATTATTGGACTTCGCAGGATTACTTCTTGTTTGGCTCCCTCTAGTGAACAACCTTCAGTGCTCGGACCCCTAATAATAATTCAGAAAGAGTCATAAAATGAAATATGGAACACATTATTGTCTCACAGAGTTTAAGAATATCATTAAAACACATTTTGTGCAAATACACTCTTAAAAATAAGACTTCTTTAGTGGCATTGATCCATAAAGAACCAGTTTAAAGAATCTTTGTTCCTCACAGTTTGAAAAAAGGTTATTTAAAGAACTGTTGACCTGAAAGATTCTTCTGTGGCACAAACATAGACTCTCTTTGAAAGTTTATATTTAAGAGTGTGTGTGCCACTCAAAGGCAGCAGAATCACTTGGGATCTTCTACATATCACACTGTTGATCCAGATGTTGGATCACTCAATAATCCACCAGTGTCTAAGTATTCTTCATAGAGATGAACTACTGTACCATTTAATTACTTATAGCTGACTCTTTATCATTCAAATTTGACAACATTTATATGCACCCTCTCATCATGTGAATCTTAACTGAATAATTGATTTATTACGAAAATTGTTTGTGAAGACCAGTTTTTTGAAAACTCACAATGAAATTATGGCAGTATAAAGCTTTACCTCATGTAAACGCAATACTTTGATGAAACTCATGCGATTAAGCTCAATCGTAGTAAAATATATATGCAGATTTTGCGCAATAAAAAGGTAAAGACTTTAATCGCATCTATTTCACTCTGACCAAAGTGCGCATGTGCCTGTGAAGAACACAGATGATGTCATCATCATATGCAGATTCATCAACAAAGCAGAGATGAAGAACACTTCACATTTTTGAGATGCTGAAGAAACTGAATTCATGTTGACAACGTTGTGTGACATGCTTATAATGCGGTATATTGATGGTAGAAAACACCAAATTCTGGAGCTTAAATAATTTTCCAAATTATAACATTGTTTATTATGAAACATTCTAACAACAAGATAAATTGTGCTAAACAAGAATGTCTAAAGGTGCCACGCTTGTCACAAACCTGTTTAAACGGATAATATCTATATTTAATATAATCTATTACCTATTTTAATGTAAAAAATAAATATTTTTGCTCCATTCTCATTTTCTGCAGCATTTTATCAAAAGTATCTACTTCCCCTTCAGTCAGGAATACACAGGCATGGGAAGGAACAGACACAGAAGACAGTGTCCATGTTTAAGCTTCTCCAGAGATTTATTGTTCAGATATGAGTATATATCAACACCAAGAATACATTAGTATAAAGAGTATCACGAGCTAACAGGCAAAGACTGTTTAGGATCAAAAGGCAAGGATGTGCAGAGAGGAGAAGAAATGTACAGTCTGTTAGAGTAATGCACAGTCAGGACTTTTATACTTAACTGAGAACAGAGAGTAATTAAGTTTTACTTTCACAATGATGTATAATTTTCAATTCTGCATGCTTTTGGTTACTTTGATATAGTGAGAAGCATACGTGTCAATGGCATTTGGAAAGCAGAACAACATCTTGCATCCATCGACAAGAGACAAACTAGTTTAAAAGTAAATGAATAAAATGAAAATGTACATATTTTGTATATTCTTCAAACATCTGTCTTTAAGTAAACATTAGTTTCTTCTGTGTTGGACAGAACACTTTGATTATATCTTTCTTTAAAATATTGAATATATCCTGTGAACTACTTTTAGAATGCTATATATTTAGTTTAGTATATGCAACATTCACTGAAGTGTGTGACGTAATCTCATTTCAGCTGTGTATTGTGTATCAGAGACCTTGTTGATTGTTTCATTAAATGTATTTATCCAGACTCTCAATAGCTTCCTCTCGAGAGTATCTTCTCCATTCATCTGGAATCTTGCCACTTCCCTGATAGGTTTTTCCATAGTGCTTTTCTAGATCTTCCTGGAATCTGCACACAAACCACTTCCAGTACGGCAGCTCAGAGAGATCAGGAGTGATACTCCATGATGCATATTTAGGACCTCCTTTTCTGTATTCCTTCCAGAGGACTGAATCATCTGAGCTATTTGGACGGAAAGATCGATCACTGGCTACTGCGGATGTGCAGATCTCGTTAGATAGGTTTGTTGTTCCTCTGTAAAACCACCCATTCAGTCCATTATTACGATGGAAAGGAACACTGTGATCTCCAGTATGGCCTTCTATTGTGTTTGTGCAGATCGCTGCACAGAAAGGACACTGAACCCAACAGCATTGACAGAAGTGATTGATCAGAAGCTCATCTGGTCTGTCTGTGTGTTCCAGCTTTACTGGGAACGTTTCTGTACTGAATTTACAGCATATGTCAGACATTATAGAAGGAAGTTCTTCTCTTATCACATCATCTAGGAAGCTGACATCAACATCATCATGATTCAATCCAGTGAAGTCATTTAGAGACAATACTAGCACATCAGAGAGCTGTTGTGTGAAATGATCCAACCACTGATGAGCTTCTCCATTAGTCTCTTTAACATCTTTAGTGGATTGACGTGCTGCGTTTGTGATCTTCTGCTCCAGCTGTTTAATGCTGTTTTCCATCTTGGGTCGAACACTATCTTCAAATCTTTCAGTGATGTACTGACTGACCTCATCTCTGATGAAATTCTTGAAGTGTTCTTTGGGATTTTTAATGTATGTGATGCATGCATCAAAATCCTCCTCTTCTGCCAGTCTCCTCAAGATGTGTTTCTCCAGGTTTGATCGGTTCCCATTTAGTGACTCACAGTTTGTCATCATTTCATCTGCTAAATCTCTGGCAGTTTTTTTGTAGATATTCTGCTGAATGGACTCTTTAAGTTTATTACAAACAAATTCTCCAAAAACAGCAGTTGATGTTGCTCCTTGACAGTATTTCTGGAAAATGCTGTAATACTCTTGACTCTTCCTCTCAAAATAAAGAACTGGATCATTGGCTTCTCTGAACATTTTGTATTGATCATTTAATGTTTTGTTTTTTCTTTGACATAAGGAAAGATTAAGATCCACAAAGAATTCACTCTTGAACACATATTTCACTTTTGTCCCGTCCTCATGCTGCTTTATTCTTGTGTTTATGTAATCTACGAGTTGTTGAATGCAGCCGTTGTTGTAGCCCATCTTTCCAATGTTAAATGACTGAATCATTTCATCTGTGTGTTCAGCAATGTCTCTGATTAAAGATCTTATCTGGGCTTCATCCTCATCAGATAAAACACGAACAATCTTCTCTATACCTCGTTTGAAGGCATTTTTTAAAGATGCTGATACTCCACTGGATTTCTTCAACTGTACATATTCTGAATAGCTTGTCAAAGAGATCATATCTTTCTGCTCACTGCTCTGTTTCATGCGGTCCAAAGGGAGACTTTTATAGTTCTGACTGAGGATGTTTTTCACATCCTTTAATATGTCAATATCTTTGACTAAAGGAGTGTCTCTGATGATCTCGGTTGTCTGTTGTTTCCAAAAGATATCGAATTGTGTTTTCATGAAATTTTCATCATTTGCTCGTTCTTTGAATTGTAAAGCAAGTTCTTTGCTCTTTTCAAAGAGTGTGTTTTCATGTTTTGTCTTCTCGGCATCCATCTTTTTCTTCAGGTCACGCTGTTGAAGAACCCCATTTAATTTCCTCATAGTTTCTCTCACAATGTTTTCTTTTAGCTGTTTGATTTTTATCTCAAATAAACCTTTCCACTGATTCAGTACAGCTGCGTCTCTGTCTTTCTCAAAGAAATCTGACATCGTCTTTTCCACTTCTTCACTTTTGGCATTCAGTTCTGTTTGAAGATCAGCTTCCTCAACATCATCAATTACACCATTTTCTATTTTGTTGTGAAGCTTGTTTTCGATGTCCAGCATGGCACTCCGAAGGCTCCAGCTCCACTTGCTGTATTCAGTCTCTAGTTTCTTGTATGTTGTGATTTCCAGGGAATTTTTGAAGCTGAACACAAATTGTTCATTAAGTAAAGCCTCCCACAGATCTTCAATACGGTCTCTGAGGTGCGTCAGCATTATGCCGTCTGATTTTGAAGCGTGTGTAAGAATAGTTTGCTTCAGATCTTGAATGTTCTCGCAGTAGTTTGGGTTTGGTGGTGCCATGGGTGGGCTGCCCTCCCAGAGCTGAGCGAAATACTTCACATCTTTCAGTACATCAAACGCAATCACATCACTGAATCCTTCAGCATCACAGACTTCCTCTTTAGCAGCGAGTTTTGTCATGTCATCCAGTTTCTCCTGCAGTCGTCTCCTTCCCTCTGTGTTTTTCTCTCCAGCTGTGATATCAGAGACATTCTGGTGCACAAATATACAGCTGGGACTCAGTCTGACGTTCTTCATCCTCATGAAGGCCTGAACAACAATCTGAAGGATGTCCTGCATCTCAGATGGGTTTTCTCCAAAGATGTTGATCAGGGTCATATTTCCAAGACCAACAACAAATGTGGCCATTTCATTGTCACGATGTGTTGTTGAGCTTCCAGCCAGTTCTGGTGCACGAAGTCCTTCAGTATCAACAACCAGAATATAGTCAAACTTCAGCTCAGTTTTCATCTCCTCTGATATTTTGATCAACTGCATGAAAGCTCCTTTAGTGCATCTTCCAGCACTGACGGCAAACTGCAGTCCAAACATGGCATTCAGCATGGTGGATTTCCCAGAGCTCTGAATCCCCAGAATTGACAGTACAAAGACTTTCTGGTCTCCCAGTTTCTTAACAAGTTCCTCTAGAACAGCAGTGACCCAGGTCACAGGAATATGAGCAGCATCTCCATCCATCATCTCCATTGGAAATCCAGAGATCATCATCTCAGCTGCAAGACTCGGGAGAGAACAGAAGTCAAACTGCAGATTGCCTTTCTTGTTCTTCATCACAGATGACCACGATTCATAGATCTGACCGAACTCTCTCAGGATGTGCTCCAAGCCAAAACCTGTTCTATTGATTTGCTCTGATATGTTTTCCAGGTTTCCTTGTTCAGTCCTTAGTAGTTTGTCAGGAGTCTTTTTCAATCCTAAGACTTCATTCCACGTCACATTATACTCCTTTTGAAGATCACACAGTTTCTCTGACGTGAAGTCATCCAACAGGTTCATCATCCATCTGAGGAAATAGTTTTTTTCATTGTCTCTCTGTGATTTCATTGTTTCAATAAACGTTTTCATGAACTCACTCGGTCCTTTTGCCACTTGCTCTTCTCTTATTTCTCTCATGTTCTTGAGTTTGGTACTTTTATCTTCCTCTAGATTTTCTCCTTCTAGATGACGCAGCTCTTTGTTGATTTTACACCAGTCATGCCACAGTTTACCCTGACAGGGCAGGTTTGTTTCTTTCACTGTTGATGGATCCTTTCCTCTCAGTAATCCCATGATCTGATTCGCTGCCTCTTTCCCACTCCGGCACTCTGGATCCTCCTCATCTACTCTGATCCCTGTGTGTTTGGTCACATCTTCAAGTTTGAAGGTCTTATTCTGATTGATTAAACCCACTCTGATCATCTCCCTTATCTGATTAGATACACCAGATTGGTTTTTGTCCAAAAGCCCAATTGTGAATTTTCCATTCCCCAGTTCAGTTTCATCACAGTCACTGTCAGTGAGCAGACAAATGAGAGGTTGAGGAGATTTGAAGAGTGATGTCACCAAATCCTGGTACTGGTTCTTCTGTCCAAAATCAGGTAAGAAGAGCACGTTTACTGACGCCATGCTGGTCAGAATCTCATATTGTTTCTCATTTGCTGCTGCATCACCATGAAGATTACAGAAAGCAACACAGTCATCAAATGCGTCAGTCTTTTTCCCAGAAGGGCAGTACCAGGCGATCTCCACCACCCCGTCCATCAGTAATCTGGTTCTGCTGCTGCCTGAGCAATTCCTGTGGAAGAATGTGTGGTGTTTCTCATTGATGAGGCCGTTTATCAGCTGAGACTTTGATGAAGATACAGAACCAAACCTGAAGAAAGCCACCATTGGAGTCTCAGCCTTGTAGACCGGGTGAGTTTGACTGATGATTTTGTTACTTGAGTCTTTCTTCTTCCAGCTCTTGTTGATTTGTCTGAATGTCCAGAGAGGAAACTCAATCTGCTGTGTGAATGGATCAGGAACAAGCAGAGGCAGTGAATACTGACACTGAGAGAGTTTAGTCACCATCAGCTGCTTCAAGAAACCATCGGCACAATGAAACACGGCCATCTGAACATCCATTGGATGAATATCAAAGGGATTTTCATTAGGGTTGTAGTTTTCACCCTCTTCCTCAAATTCTTTCTCATTAGTATGTGTTTCTTGGTGGGGTTTTTTTCTGTGTTTTATGACAATGTTTCTTGCACTGTAGTCCATGTTTATCAGCTTGTGTAGGAATGAGTATACCAGTTCAGTCTCTTCCTGTGGCTCCTGAGACTGAAATGAAGATTTGCTAATTTCAAGAATGTCTGCTATTTTCAATTCATCTTGAAGCCTTTTAGTCAGATCCAACCTATTGTAGAGTTTGTTGAACTTGTCTTTGTTTTTTGGTTCAAGCTTTGGGTGTTCGCAAGTTTCTTCTCTCTGTTAATAAATACATGAACAAAATGAAATAAACAATGTAAAAACTCATATCTTAATGGTTGTTTAAAATATAGTACACTTTAAATTAACCAAACCAAGTACAGCTAAATGAACATAAAAGGAAACATCAGCAATTGACCTCAGTGTCTGTGGTGTTCACAATATAAGTGGGCCTAAAAGAGTCTTAAACCACAAAAGTACATATGAGGTGGTCTAAATGCAGTTTGTTTGTTTGTGGGATCTTTTAAGATGAGTTTAAGATCATTTGAGGCGCTCACCTACTCCTCTCCACCAGCATGAATTGGGTGCTAGTTGAGAGCCAGAGCTATTGCTCATTCGGAGTTGGTTCGACTGACGAGCCTTCTAAGAACCAGTTTGCCTTTCCACAGGCCAAAGAACTAGCACAGAGCCAGGTCTTACGTCACTGTATACATCTCAAACACAAACACACAAGGCTTGTTCAAGATGCATCGGCTTCTCGCAGGCCGATTGGCGCATGATATCAAAGCACTGCATCTCGAACAAGCCTTCCATCAACAATGGCGGTCATCGCGTTACTATTGATACTCATGGCTTTGCGAACCTACATCGGCATCCAAACATGGCAAATCTAACACGTTCGTGCAGCTCACCATAATTTGCATAGATGGGAAATTCAATCAAACTGCTCTTAGCTTTGATAGCTAGTATTTAAAAATGGTGGTCACCTAGCCCCTGGTGCAAGCGGCTCTTACTCCTAAACCAGCAATGTTTTAGTGCTACTTAAGACAACTTTCCTGGTTTAGAGCTGGTGCCTTTGGGTGTTTAAAGACAACGAATATTTTGAAACTAGGTTCTAGCTCTGAACCAGCAATCAAACTGCCTTGGTGGAAAAGGGGTAACGGATACATGGTATATTAGCCCAAAACTGAAAATCAGTGCTCACATGAACATTGTGTGAAATCCTTAATAATCAAGCCTCCAAATACCCGTCAGCCTTGTCATGATTTTCATTGATGACTTACCTTTGGAGACCAAGTAAAGTTTTCCATTTCTTTTTTTCTGTCTTCTTCATAGTCCACTGGTTTTAGTCTCATTAGTTCACATTGCTTCTGTTGTTCTATTAACTTAAATTTGTCTTCATACATTTTACATTGTTGTTCTTTCAGAGATTTCTCATTCTGGAGTATCTCATATTGTTTGATCCAATCTTGTTTTTCTTCCTCCATCTTCTTCCTCTCCTCTTGCATCTGTTTTAGCATTTCCTCATGACATTTCTGCATTTGCTCTTCTTTTTCATTAAAGTTATCCTCTCTTATCCTCCTCTTGGTGTCATGATTTTGTCTTTCTTCCTCCAACATCAACTTAAATTTTTTAGCCTGAAGAATTTCTTTCTCTTTTTGTAATCTCTCTGTCTCTCTTTTGATTTGATCTTTCTCTTTTTCAAGTCTATTGAAAGATACATCCAAATTGTTGTGTTCTTTCTCATTTCTTATCTCAAATTCTTGTTCTCTTCTCAGTCTTTGTTCTTGTATCTTTGTCTCCCAGGCCTTTTGTTCTGTTTTGTATTGTTCTTCAATCTGTCGAAGTTCTTCTTCTCTTCTCAGTCTTTGTTCTTGTATCTTTGTCTCCCAGTTCTCTTGTTCTCTTTTTATTTTGGTTTTGTAGTGTTCTTCAATCTCTCGAAGTTCTTCTTCTCTTCTCAGTCTTTGTTCTTGTATATTTGTGTCCCAGGCCTTTTGTTCTGTTTTGTATTGTTCTTCAATCTCTTGAAGTTCTTCTTCTCTTCTCAGTCTTTGTTCTTGTATCTTTGTCTCCCAGTTCTCTTGTTCTCTTTTTATTTTGGTTTTGTATTGTTCTTCAATCTCTCGAAGTTCTTCTTCTCTTCTCTGTCTTTGTTCTTGTATCTTTGTCTCCCAGGTCTTTTGTTCTGTTTTTATTTTGGTTTTGTATTGTTCTTCAATCTCTCGATGTTCTGCTTCTCTTCTCAGTTTTTGTTGTTGTATCTCTGTCTCCCAGTTCTCTTGTTCTCTTTTTATTTTGGTTTTGTAGTGTTCTTCAATCTCTCGAAGTTCTTCTTCTCTTCTCAGTCTTTGTTCTTGTATCTTTGTCTCCCAGGTCTTTTGTTCTGTTTTGTATTGTTCTTCAATCTCTTGAAGTTCTTCTTCTCTTCTCAGTTTTTGTTCTCGTATCTTTGTCTCCCAGGTCTTTTGTTCTGTTTTGTATTGTTCTTCAATCTCTCGAAGTTCTTCTTCTCTTCTCAGTCTTTGTTCTTGTATCTTTGTCTCCCAGTTCTCTTGTTCTCTTTTTATTTTGGTTTTGTAGTGTTCTTCAATCTCTCGAAGTTCTTCTTCTCTTCTCAGTCTTTGTTCTTGTATCTTTGTCTCCCAGGTCTTTTGTTCTGTTTTGTATTGTTCTTCAATCTCTCGAAGTTCTTCTTCTCTTCTCAGTTTTTGTTCTTGTATCTTTGTCTCCCAGTTCTCTTGTTCTCTTTTTATTTTGGTTTTGTAGTGTTCTTCAATCTCTCGAAGTTCTTCTTCTCTTCTCAGTCTTTGTTCTTGTATCTTTGTCTCCCAGTTCTCTTGTTCTCTTTTTATTTTGGTTTTGTAGTGTTCTTCAATCTCTCGAAGTTCTTCTTCTCTTCTCAGTCTTTGTTCTTGTATCTTTGTCTCCCAGGTCTTTTGTTCTGTTTTGTATTGTTCTTCAATCTCTCGAAGTTCTTCTTCTCTTCTCTGTTTTTGTTCTTGTATCTCTGTCTCCCAGTTCTCTTGTTCTCTTTTTATTTTGGTTTTGTAGTGTTCTTCAATCTCTCGAAGTTCTGCTTCTCTTCTCAGTCTTTGTTCTTGTATCTTTGTCTCCCAGGTCTTCTGTTCTGTTTTGTGTTGTTCTTCAATCTCTCGAAGTTCTTCTTCTCTTCTCAGTTTTTGTTCTTGTATCTTTGTCTCCCAGGTCTTTTGTTCTGTTTTGTATTGTTCTTCAATCTCTCGAAGTTCTTCTTCTCTTCTCAGTCTTTGTTCTTGTATCTTTGTCTCCCAGTTCTCTTGTTCTCTTTTTATTTTGGTTTTGTAGTGTTCTTCAATCTCTCGAAGTTCTTCTTCTCTTCTCAGTCTTTGTTCTTGTATCTTTGTCTCCCAGGTCTTTTGTTCTGTTTTGTATTGTTCTTCAATCTCTCGAAGTTCTTCTTCTCTTCTCTGTCTTTGTTCTTGTATCTCTGTCTCCCAGGTCTTTTGTTCTCTTTTGTATTGTTCTTCAATCTCTCGAAGTTCTTCTTCTCTTCTCTGTCTTTGTTCTTGTATCTCTGTCTCCCAGGTCTTTTGTTCTGTTTTGTATTGTTCTTCAATCTCTCGAAGTTCTTCTTCTCTTCTTAGTCTTTGTTCCTGTATCTTTGTCTCCCAGTTCTCTTGTTCTCTTTTTATTTTGGTTTTGTATTGTTCTTCAATCTCTCGAAGTTCTGCTTCTCTTCTCAGTTTTTGTTCTTGTATCTTTGTCTCCCAGGTCTTTTGTTCTGTTTTGTATTGTTCTTCAATCTCTCGAAGTTCTTCTTCTCTTCTTAGTCTTTGTTCCTGTATCTTTGTCTCCCAGTTCTCTTGTTCTCTTTTTATTTTGTTTTGTATTGTTCTTCAATCTCTCGATGTTCTGCTTCTCTTCTCAGTTTTTGTTCTTGTATCTCTGTCTCCCAGTTCTCTTGTTTTCTTTTTATTTTGGTTTTGTAGTGTTCTTCAATCTCTCGAAGTTCTGCTTCTCTTCTCAGTTTTTGTTCTCGTATCTTTGTCTCCCAGGTCTTTTGTTCTGTTTTGTATTGTTCTTCAATCTCTCGAAGTTCTTCTTCTCTTCTCTGTCTTTGTTCTTGTATCTTTGTCTCCCAGGTCTTTTGTTCTGTTTTGTATTGTTCTTCAATCTCTCGAAGTTCTTCTTCTCTTCTCAGTCTTTGTTCTTGTATCTTTGTCTCCCAGGCCTTTTGTTCTGTTTTGTATTGTTCTTCAATCTCTCGAAGTTCTTCTTCTCTTCTCTGTCTTTGTTCTTGTATCTCTGTCTCCCAGGTCTTTTGTTCTCTTTTGTATTGTTCTTCAATCTCTCGAAGTTCTTCTTCTCTTCTCTGTCTTTGTTCTTGTATCTTTGTCTCCCAGGTCTTTTGTTCTGTTTTGTATTGTTCTTCAATCTCTCGAAGTTCTTCTTCTCTTCTCTGTCTTTGTTCTTGTATCTTTGTCTCACAGTTCTCTTGTTCTCTTTTATTTTGGTTTTGTAGTGTTCTTCAATCTCTCGAAGTTCTTCTTCTCTTCTCAGTCTTTGTTCTTGTATCTTTGTCTCCAAGGCCTTTTGTTCTGTTTTGTATTGTTCTTCAATCTCTCGAAGTTCTTCTTCTCTTCTTAGTCTTTGTTCCTGTATCTTTGTCTCCCAGTTCTCTTGTTCTCTTTTTATTTTGGTTTTGTATTGTTCTTCAATCTCTCGAAGTTCTGCTTCTCTTCTCAGTTTTTGTTCTTGTATCTTTGTCTCCCAGGTCTTTTGTTCTGTTTTGTATTGTTCTTCAATCTCTCGAAGTTCTTCTTCTCTTCTTAGTCTTTGTTCCTGTATCTTTGTCTCCCAGTTCTCTTGTTCTCTTTTTATTTTGGTTTTGTATTGTTCTTCAATCTCTCGAAGTTCTTCTTCTCTTCTCTGTCTTTGTTCTTGTATCTCTGTCTCCCAGGTCTTTTGTTCTGTTTTGTATTGTTCTTCAATCTCTCGAAGTTCTTCTTCTCTTCTTAGTCTTTGTTCCTGTATCTTTGTCTCCCAGTTCTCTTGTTCTCTTTTTATTTTGGTTTTGTATTGTTCTTCAATCTCTCGAAGTTCTGCTTCTCTTCTCAGTTTTTGTTCTTGTATCTTTGTCTCCCAGGTCTTTTGTTCTGTTTTGTATTGTTCTTCAATCTCTCGAAGTTCTTCTTCTCTTCTTAGTCTTTGTTCCTGTATCTTTGTCTCCCAGTTCTCTTGTTCTCTTTTTATTTTGGTTTTGTATTGTTCTTCAATCTCTCGATGTTCTGCTTCTCTTCTCAGTTTTTGTTCTTGTATCTCTGTCTCCCAGTTCTCTTGTTTTCTTTTTATTTTGGTTTTGTAGTGTTCTTCAATCTCTCGAAGTTCTGCTTCTCTTCTCAGTTTTGTTCTTGTATCTTTGTCTCCCAGGTCTTTTGTTCTGTTTTGTATTGTTCTTCAATCTCTCGAAGTTCTTCTTCTCTTCTCTGTCTTTGTTCTTGTATCTTTGTCTCCCAGGTCTTTTGTTCTGTTTTGTATTGTTCTTCAATCTCTCGAAGTTCTTCTTCTCTTCTCAGTCTTTGTTCTTGTATCTTTGTCTCCCAGGCCTTTTGTTCTGTTTTGTATTGTTCTTCAATCTCTCGAAGTTCTTCTTCTCTTCTCTGTCTTTGTTCTTGTATCTCTGTCTCCCAGGTCTTTTGTTCTCTTTTGTATTGTTCTTCAATCTCTCGAAGTTCTTCTTCTCTTCTCTGTCTTTGTTCTTGTATCTTTGTCTCCCAGGTCTTTTGTTCTGTTTTGTATTGTTCTTCAATCTCTCGAAGTTCTTCTTCTCTTCTCTGTCTTTGTTCTTGTATCTTTGTCTCACAGTTCTCTTGTTCTCTTTTTATTTTGGTTTTGTAGTGTTCTTCAATCTCTCGAAGTTCTTCTTCTCTTCTCAGTCTTTGTTCTTGTATCTTTGTCTCCAAGGCCTTTTGTTCTGTTTTGTATTGTTCTTCAATCTCTCGAAGTTCTTCTTCTCTTCTCTGTCTTTGTTCTTGTATCTTTGTCTCCCAGGTCTTTTGTTCTGTTTTGTATTGTTCTTCAATCTCTCGAAGTTCTTCTTCTCTTCTCAGTCTTTGTTCTTGTATCTTTGTCTCCCAGGCCTTTTGTTCTGTTTTGTAGTGTTCTTCAATCTCTCGAAGTTCTTCTTCTCTTCTCAGTCTTTGTTCTTGTATCTTTGTCTCCCAGGTCTTTTGTTCTGTTTTGTATTGTTCTTCAATCTCTCGAAGTTCTTCTTCTCTTCTCTGTCTTTGTTCTTGTATCTTTGTCTCCCAGGTCTTTTGTTCTGTTTTGTGTTGTTCTTCAATCTCTCGAAGTTCTTCTTCTCTTCTCTGTCTTTGTTCTTGTATCTCTGTCTCCCAGGTCTTTTGTTCTCTTTTGTATTGTTTTTCAATCTCTCGAAGTTCTTCTTCTCTTCTCAGTCTTTGTTCTTGTATCTCTGTCTCCCAGTTCTCTTGTTCTCTTTTTATTTTGGTTTTGTAGTGTTCTTCAATCTCTCGAAGTTCTTCTTCTCTTCTCAGTCTTTGTTCTTGTATCTTTGTCTCCCAGGTCTTTTGTTCTGTTTTGTATTGTTCTTCAATCTCTCGAAGTTCTTCTTCTCTTCTCAGTTTTTGTTCTTGTATCTTTGTCTCCCAGGTCTTTTGTTCTGTTTTGTATTGTTCTTCAATCTCTCGAAGTTCTTCTTCTCTTCTCAGTTTTTGTTCTTGTATCTTTGTCTCCCAGGTCTTTTGTTCTGTTTTGTATTGTTCTTCAATCTCTCGAAGTTCTTCTTCTCTTCTCAGTTTTTGTTCTCGTATCTCTGTCTCCCAGGTCTTTTGTTCTGTTTTGTATTGTTCTTCAATCTCTCGAAGTTCTTCTTCTCTTCTTAGTCTTTGTTCTTGTATCTTTGTCTCCCAGTTCTCTTGTTCTCTTTTTATTTTGGTTTTGTAGTGTTCTTCAATCTCTCGAAGTTCTTCTTCTCTTCTCAGTCTTTGTTCTTGTATCTCTGTCTCCCAGGTCTTTTGTTCTGTTTTGTATTGTTCTTCAATCTCTCGAAGTTCTTCTTCTCTTCTCTGTCTTTGTTCTTGTATCTTTGTCTCCCAGCTCTTTTGTTCTGTTTTGTATTGTTCTTCAATCTCCCGAAGTTCTTCTTCTCTTCTCTGTCTTTGTTCTTGTATCTCTGTCTCCCAGGTCTTTTGTTCTCTTTTTATTTTGGTTTTGTAGTGTTCTTCAATCTCTCGAAGTTCTTCTTCTCTTCTCAGTCTTTGTTCTTGTATCTCTGTCTCCCAGGTCTTTTGTTCTGTTTTGTATTGTTCTTCAATCTCTCGAAGTTCTTCTTCTCTTCTCAGTCTTTGTTCTTGTATCTTTGTCTCCCAGTTCTCTTGTTCTCTTTTTATTTTGGTTTTGTAGTGTTCTTCAATCTCTCGAAGTTCTTCTTCTCTTCTCAGTCTTTGTTCTTGTATCTTTGTCTCCCAGGCCTTTTGTTCTGTTTTGTATTGTTCTTCAATCTCTCGAAGTTCTTCTTCTCTTCTCTGTCTTTGTTCTTGTATCTTTGTCTCCCAGGTCTTTTGTTCTGTTTTGTATTGTTCTTCAATCTCTCGAAGTTCTTCTTCTCTTCTCTGTCTTTGTTCTTGTATCTTTGTCTCCCAGGTCTTTTGTTCTGTTTTGTATTGTTCTTCAATCTCTCGAAGTTCTTCTTCTCTTCTCTGTCTTTGTTCTTGTATCTTTGTCTCCCAGTTCTCTTGTTCTCTTTTTATTTTGGTTTTGTAGTGTTCTTCAATCTCTCGAAGTTCTTCTTCTCTTCTCTGTCTTTGTTCTTGTATCTTTGTCTCCCAGGTCTTTTGTTCTGTTTTGTATTGTTCTTCAATCTCTCGAAGTTCTTCTTCTCTTCTCTGTCTTTGTTCTTGTATCTTTGTCTCCCAGGTCTTTTGTTCTGTTTTGTATTGTTCTTCAATCTCTCGAAGTTCTTCTTCTCTTCTCTGTCTTTGTTCTTGTATCTTTGTCTCCCAGTTCTCTTGTTCTCTTTTATTTTGGTTTTGTAGTGTTCTTCAATCTCTCGAAGTTCTTCTTCTCTTCTCTGTCTTTGTTCTTGTATCTTTGTCTCCCAGGCCTTTTGTTCTGTTTTGTATTGTTCTTCAATCTCTCGAAGTTCTTCTTCTCTTCTCTGTCTTTGTTCTTGTATCTTTGTCTCCCAGGTCTTTTGTTCTGTTTTTATTTTGGTTTTGTATTGTTCTTCAATCTCTCGATGTTCTGCTTCTCTTCTCAGTTTTTGTTGTTGTATCTCTGTCTCCCAGTTCTCTTGTTCTCTTTTTATTTTGGTTTTGTAGTGTTCTTCAATCTCTCTAAGTTCTTCTTCTCTTCTCAGTCTTTGTTCTTGTATCTTTGTCTCCCAGGTCTTTTGTTCTGTTTTGTATTGTTCTTCAATCTCTCGAAGTTCTTCTTCTCTTCTCAGTTTTTGTTCTTGTATCTTTGTCTCCCAGGTCTTTTGTTCTGTTTTTTGTTGTTCTTCAATCTCTCGAAGTTCTTCTTCTCTTCTCAGTCTTTGTTCTTGTATCTTTGTCTCCCAGTTCTCTTGTTCTCTTTTTATTTTGGTTTTGTAGTGTTCTTCAATCTCTCGAAGTTCTTCTTCTCTTCTCAGTCTTTGTTCTTGTATCTTTGTCTCCCAGGTCTTTTGTTCTGTTTTGTATTGTTCTTCAATCTCTCGAAGTTCTTCTTCTCTTCTCAGTTTTTGTTCTCGTATCTCTGTCTCCCAGGTCTTTTGTTCTGTTTTGTATTGTTCTTCAATCTCTCGAAGTTCTTCTTCTCTTCTCAGTCTTTGTTCTTGTATCTTTGTCTCTAAGTTCTCTTGTTCTCTTTTTATTTTGGTTTTGTAGTGTTCTTCAATCTCTCGAAGTTCTTCTTCTCTTCTCAGTCTTTGTTCTTGTATCTCTGTCTCCCAGGTCTTTTGTTCTGTTTTGTATTGTTCTTCAATCTCTCGAAGTTCTTCTTCTCTTCTCTGTCTTTGTTCTTGTATCTTTGTCTCCCAGGTCTTTTGTTCTGTTTTGTATTGTTCTTCAATCTCTCGAAGTTCTTCTTCTCTTCTCTGTCTTTGTTCTTGTATCTTTGTCTCCCAGGTCTTTTGTTCTGTTTTGTATTGTTCTTCAATCTCTCGAAGTTCTTCTTCTCTTCTCTGTCTTTGTTCTTGTATCTTTGTCTCCCAGGTCTTTTGTTCTGTTTTGTATTGTTCTTCAATCTCTCGAAGTTCTTCTTCTCTTCTCTGTCTTTGTTCTTGTATCTCTGTCTCCCAGGTCTTTTGTTCTGTTTTGTATTGTTCTTCAATCTCCCGAAGTTCTTCTTCTCTTCTCAGTCTTTGTTCTTGTATCTTTGTCTCCCACGTCTTTTGTTCTGTTTTGTAGTGTTCTTCAATCTCTCTGAGTTCTTCTTCTCTTCTCAGTCTTTGTTCTTGTATCTTTGTCTCCCAGGTCTTTTGTTCTGTTTTGTAGTGTTCTTCAATCTCTCGAAGTTCTTCTTCTCTTCTCAGTCTTTGTTCTTGTATCTTTGTCTCCCAGGTCTTTTGTTCTGTTTTGTAGTGTTCTTCAATCTCTCGAAGTTCTTCTTCTCTTCTCAGTCTTTGTTCTTGTATCTTTGTCTCCCAGGTCTTTTGTTCTGTTTTGTAGTGTTCTTCAATCTCTCGAAGTTCTTCTTCTCTTCTCTGTCTTTGTTCTTGTATCTTTGTCTCCCAGGTCTTTTGTTCTGTTTTGTATTGTTCTTCAATCTCCCGAAGTTCTTCTTCTCTTCTCAGTCTTTGCTCTTGTATCTTTGTCTCCCAGGTCTTTTGTTCTGTTTTGTAGTGTTCTTCAATCTCCCGAAGTTCTTCTTCTCTTCTCAGTCTTTGCTCTTGTATCTTTGTCTCCCAGGTCTTTTGTTCTGTTTTGTAGTGTTCTTCAATCTCTCGAAGTTCTTCTTCTCTTCTCAGTTTTTGTTCTTGTATCTCTGTCTCCCAGTTCTCTTGTTCTCTTTTTATTTTGGTTTTGTAGTGTTCTTCAATCTCTCGAAGTTCTTCTTCTCTTCTCAGTTTTTGTTCTTGTATCTTTGTCTCCCAGGTCTTTTGTTCTGTTTTGTATTGTTCTTCAATCTCTCGAAGTTCTTCTTCTCTTCTCTGTCTTTGTTCTTGTATCTTTTTCTCCCAGGTCTTTTGTTCTGTTTTGTATTGTTCTTCAATCTCCCGAAGTTCATCTTCTCTTCTCAGTCTTTGCTCTTGTATCTTTGTCTCCCAGGTCTTTTGTTCTGTTTTGTATTGTTCTTCAATCTCTCGAAGTTCTTCTTCTCTTCTCAGTTTTTGTTCTTGTATCTCTGTCTCCCAGTTCTCTTGTTCTCTTTTTATTTTGGTTTTGTAGTGTTCTTCAATCTCCCGAAGTTCTTCTTCTCTTCTCAGTCTTTGCTCTTGTATCTTTGTCTCCCAGGTCTTTTGTTCTGTTTTGTATTGTTCTTCAATCTCTCGAAGTTCTTCTTCTCTTCTCAGTCTTTGCTCTTGTATCTTTGTCTCCCAGTTCTCTTGTTCTGTTTTTATTTTGGTTTTGTGTTGTTCTTCAATCTCTCGAAGTTCTTCTTCTCTTCTCAGTCTTTGTTCTTGTATCTCTGTCTCCCAGGCCTTTTGTTCTGTTTTGTATTGTTCTTCAATCTCTCGAAGTTCTTCTTCTCTTCTCTGTCTTTGTTCTTGTATCTCTGTCTCCCAGGCCTTTTGTTCTGTTTTGTATTGTTCTTCAATCTCTCGAAGTTCTTCTTCTCTTCTCAGTCTTTGCTCTTGTATCTTTGTCTCCCAGTTCTCTTGTTCTGTTTTTATTTTGGTTTTGTGTTGTTCTTCAATCTCTCGAAGTTCTTCTTCTCTTCTCAGTCTTTGTTCTTGTATCTTTGTCTCCCAGGCCTTTTGTTCTGTTTTGTATTGTTCTTCAATCTCTCGAAGTTCTTCTTCTCTTCTCAGTCTTTGCTCTTGTATCTTTGTCTCCCAGTTCTCTTGTTCTGTTTTTATTTTGGTTTTGTATTGTTCTTCAATCTCTCGAAGTTCTTCTTCTCTTCTCAGTCTTTGTTTTTGTATCTTTGTCTCCCAGGCGTTTTGTTCTGTTTTGTGTTGTTCTTCAATCTCTCGAAGTTCTGCTTCTCTTGTCAGTCTTTGCTCGTGTATCCTTGTCTCCCAAATTTTCCAGTTTTGTTGGTCTGCATTGTATTGCTCTTTAGTGTCACGAATGTCTTCTTCTCTTTTCAGCAGTTGCTTTCGAATATTTGTCTCCCAGTACTCTTGTTCTGTTTTTATTTTAGTTTTGTATTGTTCTTCAATCTCTTGAAGTTCATGTTCTTTTATCAGTTTTTGCTCTTGTATCTTTGTCTCCCAGTTATCTTGGTTTGTTTTGTAATATTCTTCCATCTCTCGAAGTTCTTGTTCTTTTCTTAGCTTTTGTTCTTGTATCTTTGTCTCCCAAAATTCCCAGTTCTGTTGGTCTGTAATGTGTTTTTCTTCAATCTCTCGAAGTTCTTCTTCTCTTCTCATTCTTTGCTCTTCTATCATTGTCTCCCATGTCTTTTGGCCTGTTCTGTATGTTTCTTCAGTCTCATGGTCGGATTTGTATTGTTCTTCAATCTGTTGAAGTTCTTCTTTTCTTCTCAGGCTTTGTTCTTGTATCTTTGTCTCCCAGTTTTCTTGTTTTGCATTGTGGTGTTGTTCTTTTCTTCTCTTTGTGTAAGAGTTCTGTCTTTTTTTCTCCATCAACATTATCTCTTCATTTTGTTTAGGCAGGCATTCTTTTATATCGCTGTTCATTTGCTCTAGTTTGTTTGATAGTATTTCCATTTGTGTTTGAGGTCTCTCCATCATTCTGAACATCTTACAGTAGTAACCCCCTCCATTTGCTGTCACCATGTCATTGATTTTCTGCAGTAATGTAGACACCTGCATACGGTCTCCAGTCTCATTATTATTGAACACATGATATCTGTTTCCACACTGTCCGATGAGCTTCATCAAAGCAGATCCAGGTGTATCCAGATACTCTTCAATCGTCTTCTTCTTCAGATCATCTCCTCTGGTGAAGAGCACCATTGTATACATAAAGAAGTTTTCACCAAACTTTTGTTGAATGATCTTGACAGCATTTTCCTCCTCCTGAGTGAATCGTCCCACTGGTACCAGTAACAGAAACACATGTGGTCCAGGCAGAATCATGGAGATGCAGTTGCTGATTTCTCTCTGGATCTCTTCATGACTAACTTTAGTATTAAACAGTCCTGGGGTGTCAATCACAGTAATGAGTCTGCCATCAATCTCTGCCGTCTCTCTCTTACACTCTTTAGTAACTGAATTGTGAGACTGGTCTTCTTTAAATGCGTCTCTTCCAAATATGGTGTTTCCGGCTGCACTCTTCCCAACTCCAGTTTTTCCCAGCAGTACAATCCTCACATCATCTGAAACCTCTGTTGAATCTGAAGAAGAGAAAACCGCATCACACACTAGGAGCATATCAAGATATTGTTGCACAATATCACAACTCATTAATTAATTAGATATTAATATATTCTATATAAGATGATATACCTAGAATTAGCTTTACTTTATGTAGATTTAGACCAACAAAAAGTAAAAAAAAAAATGACCAAAAATTATGGTCAACAAATACATTATGACTTTTCAGTAGCTGTTTCCATCCACTATATACTGCATAAAAATACTGGTTGGAAATGCCAAATACACATAAATTCAAAAAATGCATATATGCATGAGGTGGATCTTTTTTATTTAAAAAAAACATGCACATTAACTATGATGGAAACCCTAGTGAAAATTAAATACTAAAATGCATTTGAAATGCATGTATTTTGTGCAAAGTATATGGACACATTTACACATGTAAATGTACTTATGTACTTAATATAAATACACTGCAATTGTACTTTTGATATACTAAATTGTTATACTTAAAGGGTTAGTTCACCCAAAAATGAAAATTCTGTCAGTATTTACTCACCCTCATGTTGTTCCAAACCTCTATGTGTTTATTTGTTCTGCTGAAAGGGAGATATTTGGAAGAATGTTTTAAACAAACAGATCTCAATCCCCATTGACTACCATAGTAGGAAAAAATACATACTATGGTAGTCAATGGGGAATGAGATCTGTTTGATTAAAACATTCTTCCAAATATCAAAGTGTACTTAAGTATACTGTAACGGTTCTCGTGTCAGGAAGGGAGCGCACGACGACGAAGAACACCTTGCAACAATATAAGTGAATGAGTGAATTACCAACTGCCTGGGGAATGTTATCAACCCTTGTGCATCATTAAAAAAAGTTAAAGTTTTAGTTAGGACAAAAATGTCTGTGTCAAAAAACTGTCATAAAAATTTGAAGCTTGGGAGCATAGACTTATGTTATATATCATTAAAAAAAAGTAAATCCCCAAAAAAGTTATATAGGTTTAAGTTTACGAAAATTATTTATGAACATTATTTTATAGAAAATATATGTTTTATGAAATGAAATAAGTTGAACTAAAACGGCTAGAAAATCAAAGCCATAAATCTAAATAAGATATCTCAAGAAAATTAGCTTTGGGTAAGATTTGTTTGGGCACAGTACCAGATAACTTTTGGGATATACAAGTACACGACTGCAGGAAATCTTTCATACTGTGCAAGTGATTTTTGGATATTTTATTACAAAAAATCCTGCATATTCTAGCTTTAAGTATACTATTTTTCCACTAGGGAAGACATTTACCAACTAATTCTCTCAATGTGCAACAAACAAGTATTGTGACTTTGCCTCAACAGATCATGTGATCAGAGAAATGGTGAAGAGTGAAAGGGTATAGTTTAATGGATGTCCAAACATTCTTAATCTTCAAAAAAAGTGACTTGACGATGGAAAACATCAATAAAATGCACAAATTTTCCAAGAAATGCTTGTCGAGATGATTTTTAAAGAATATGGTAAATGTTGGAGACTTAAAGCAGAGATATAAGGCAAAAATACAGTGGAGCTGAGGGGTATTGCACAAAAGTAGAATTAAGAAAGTCAGGATAACTGAACAGTCGCGGTTTGACCTAGTCTGATCAGTGCATCCTGGCTTAATCCGTTGCACGTTCGCTGAGCCAGGATGAGAACGCACGGATATGTCAAGCCAGGTGTATATAGTTTGGATAAATGCACATGCACGGCATTCTTAAAAAGAGCGCGAAATCGATCACAGAATCACCGATCCAAAAATGGACAAAACGCGTGCGGCATACTTTTCACCTAATGAGCAACAGCTTCTTATGGAAACGTATGAAGAAGTGAAACATAAAATATGTAAAAAAGCCAATTTTTTACATATTATATGTAAAAATGCTGTAATAACATACAACAAAGAGAGAATGCCTGGCAAACAATAGCAGACTGTAAACTATATGGATGAAAATGAGTCATGGCAACAACATAAAACGCAACAAATATTTTTTTTTTTGTGTTACATCTTCAATTAAATTATGAAGAATGAGGGATTGGATATGCTTTTCTATGTGCTATACGTGACTTCTGCAAGCATTTTTTTTTTAAATGGACTTTTAAAAAACTAGCATTTTACGGTTTTAATCAAAATATATTTACAGAAATTTTGTAATAAAAAAAAAAACAAGAACACATATTTGCAATATAATAACTATGACTGGAACAGAATTATATTAAAATAAGCTTTCCATATAGCCTAGATCAATGGCAGTATATCTAGTATTTTAATGCAGGAGCATAAAGTAACTAAAACATTAATATCTAGTAGGATTTAGGGAGGACCTAGCCGATAAATCACTAGGATTAATCTTAGCCTGGTTGTTAGCCTGCTCTAGAGCAGGCTAGCTGTAAAGTGTAAATCTCCATAGTAACTTAATGTAGATTAATTTAGCCTCCATTCGTGCAACCGAGTCAGGGCTAAATTCAGCCAGGATAACTGGAAAATCCCAGCTTAATCCCTTATCTTGCTTTTGTGCAATACCCCCCTGGTGGCAAAACTAACTTTTGTTACATTGATGATATGGACAAAATACTAGGACATAAGCCAATGGTCTTCCAGCAGAAACTGGGAAGTCCTCAGAACTCAAGGCTACTTCATCTTAATTCTCAGGCCTGAGCAAATCAAAATGCCCATAAGTGGATTAGTCTTTAAGTGTTTTTTTTGTTTTTGTTTTTTACTAAACAAAGTCATTTTTTAAAACATGACTTAAAACAAATGTTTGTTGTTGTTTTTTGCTAAAATAACACACTCGCCAAAAATGCAAATGCCAAAAGTGAATAAATAAATTGAAATTGTACTCACCTTGGCCACAATAGATATTCACATGACAAATATTGCACTACAATATCTGAACAATGAAATGAAACTACTATGAAACTATCGAACTAAACTCTATAACTCCATCAATATTCAATTTAATAGAAAATTACTACAGGATGCAGAGTCTCACCGGTCTTCTTCTAATTTTGAGTTGTCTTTGTTTTATTTCATTACATTTTATAACAAGGTAAAATTACATTTTTGTATTTTTTACTGTCCAAACCTCTATGACTTTCTTCTGTTAAACACACACATACAAACACACAACATACACAAACACTTTTCAAAGTCATCCAGATTTGAAATCACAAGAGGGTGAGTAATTATGACAGAATTTTCATTTATGAGTGAATTAATCCTGTTATGATGTCAATACATTGCCTTTTAACAAGATATTTTAGCTTGCTAAACATACTTGACCTAATTTGATTCTTACCTGAACTGGTTGCCATTACATATTCATCTCATTGAAGTTTCAAAATGAAAAGAAAAGTGTATCTTGCAGACTGAAGACTTGCGTGTGTGGCAGTGCTGTCAAGAATATGCCCTCAAATTTACTCTCAATATATATTCTGTTTGTGTTGTGTACTTTGCCCCGTGGGCTTGGTTAGACTGCCAACAACATGTGCCATTCCATACATCAATGACTGATCTACTGTGATCTGATTAGGTTATCCTATAGGTAAAGCATGTAAAATACACTTGTACATAGACTACTTAAAACACAGCAATCTAATTGCTATTATTATGCATCTGATATTGGAATAAAACAAAAGGGAGTACATATAGACCTGTTCAGTTTTAGGTATTTAGATATCAAAAAAAAAAAAAAACTATGACTGTTTTAACATTTAAACAAAGGTAGGCCTAAAAATTATGAGGAATATTTTATAAGTCATCTTAACTTGACCTCAATAATTAAATGTTCTCTTTTTTTAACCAATTTTTGTTCAATTTGCTGTCCATATTGTAATCGTTACACAATTCACATTTCTTTGACAGTTGTTTGAGTCCGTAGTTCAGCACATCTAAATACTTTCACTTTTTTTTTACGAAGTACTTTATTGGCTTTATTGTTTTACAACATTTGTTTTACAACAACTGGTTACAAAACCAGTCACGATTCGCACGGGTATTTTTCTTTTATGCCAAAAATAATTAGGCTATTAAGTAAAGATCATGTTCCATGAAGATTTTTTTGTACATTTCTTACTGTAAAATATATAAAACATGTATTTTTGTTTTATATATTTACAAACAAACTATAAAGACGATTTTCTCAAGGTTCAGATTTTTTTGCACCCTTAGATTCCAGAATTTCAAATTGTCATATATTTATACCCAACAACCCATACATCAATTGAAAGCTTATTTATCCAGCTTTCATATGATACTCAATTTCATAAAATTGACCCATAACTGGTTTTGTGGTCCAGGGTCACATATTGTTAGACAGGGACAAATGTATAGGGAAAATAACACAATGATGCTAATTGTTTTAAATGTGCCATTTTAAACAACATTCACACAGTCAGGCCTAAAATGCTATGAATTTTATTACTAGTCTGCTTTCTGACAATTTAAATTAAATGCAGAGAAAATCATTAAATAAGCATCTAACTGTGACGGTGCAGACAGTGGCGCCTCCAGAAATTTTTCGTAGGGGTGGCCAGATGGGGCCAGTTAAAATCTTGGGGTGGCACACCAAAACTACAGTATAAACCATAATTTCAGAATTGTTTTCTACTGTTGTAATAAACCAGCCTGTAGAAAACTATCAGAAAGACTCAAGGAAACTCCTACTGATATACTTTGGTTTATTGTGTAATATTTAATGTTACTAATGATATTAGTAGGGCCCAACTAATATATATTACATTGTATATAATGATATATATTATATGATATATAAGGGTCCTTGCCCCACAGCAAATTTCCAGATACTTACATAATTGTGATGAATTTAATCATTTTTAAGTTATTAGTTTGCAGTGTAAGATTACAGTTAACACCTTTAAATATTACATAAATGTATTATGAATTTTTAATACACTTAATGAGTGTATACATCAGCAGCAAAAAGTAATTCTTGAAAAAAATCTGCACAGTAATTTTATAAAATCTAAATATGTTAATAAAAACAAATTACTATTAGTTCTCTTTTAAAATTCAATCAGGCAATAATGTCACAATTTTATATTTATATATTAATGTCAAGAATTCAGAAGTGCATAGCCTAAACTACAAATAAATTATATACAATTAAATTATGCTTATTTAAAATGTATTGAGCAGGCTAGGTATAACGAAATATATTGGCTTTTAATAATATTTCAGTGCGCAAACCCATGATTACATGAAAAACAGAGAGCACACAGCGTGTATGTGCATCGCGGGTGCAGAATGATGTGCTCAAAGCAACATGGAGTCACAATGTGCAGCAGCACTGCGCTTCATTAGTGCGCATTTAAAAGCTCATGTCACAAATCGAAGAAATGTTGAGCGCACAAATCCAAGTGCGATTTGTTCCTTTGTTTCACAGTTATTGTGCGTTTGATGCCGATTCATAATCCTTGTGATATGTATGTGTGATCTAACAGAACACGGTAGTGAGTCGTTTAAAAACAGCAACAAACTCCAAGAAAATAAAGTAATTTTATGCGAATATACAGACTTTTATCTACAGATCATGCATTTATAATGTCAATATATCATATTGGAGAGAGTTTTACCGTGCATCCAAGAGGCGCGCGTGCTGTTTGAATATGAATGGAGAATGATGACAGCCGCAGAGGAGGGAAAACGAGTTTATACTTTAATGATGTAAATATACTTCTGTCCCTCACATTAAGCTATGGAATGACTTCAGATGACTTTGTCACCCAAACTGACGTGAAAACGTGGCTGTTTGCATCCCTGCCTGTCCAAACGTGGCAAAAACACACCTAAAAGCTGCTGTAACAGTATACCATTTGGCACTTAAAAGGCACGTCACGACACATACTTCCCCGTCTGCTTTTACTTAAGAATATTTTTGACTTATTTATAAAATGCATAACTGATGCTACAAAAATTAATACTGGCCATTGGGGTGGCCAATGGGGTGGCCAGGAGTCGGCCAGGGGTGGCCATGGCCACCCCTGGCCACCCCCTGGTGGCGCCATTGGGTGCAGAATTGCGCAAGTAGTAGAAAAATAACGCAGTTCTCATGCATGTGTCGTGGAATTCTCTTGAACTCTCGTCTCGAATATTTGTTTGTTTTTCCCGCACAAAAAGTATTCTCGTCGCTTGATAAACTTATACTTGAGCCACTGTTGACACATGGAATATTTAAACATTTTCTTCAATGACTTTCTGGGCCGTCAAGTGTAGCAGTGATCCATCTCAAATTTAATCAAAAATATCTTCATTTGTGTTCCGGAGACGAACGAAGGTCTTACGGGGTTGGAACAGCATGGGGGTGAGTAATTAATGACTTTATTTTCATTTTTGGGTGAACTAACCCTTTAACCTTCAAGGTTAAGATATTCAGATTGGTGCATTTATGAGTATGTGTGTGTGTGTGTGTGTGGGTGTGTGCTGGCAATGTTTGACTCTCATATGGTGCTGGGGTAAAAACTGTTCTTGAATCTATTGGTCTGCGATTTGATGGACCTAAATTGTTTTGCAGAAGGCAGCAATTCAAAAAAATTATGACCCGGATGGAAAGGATCCTCTAAAATGTTTCCTGCTCTTCTGAGACAGTGTATAAAGCTCTTTTAAGGAAGGCATTGAGGAATACAAAATGACAACCACTATATGCACAATATGATGTGTAAATTAATGAACACATGCACAGCCGGATCATTTCCATAATGACAGACGAGCCAAAATCTACCAAGAGCTGCGCAAATTAGCATCTGCTTTAAGACATGCTGTTTTGGGGCATGAAACAAATAATGGCGGAAACACCAGTAAATTGACTAGCGCAAACCTTAGTAAATCACCTTACATGATTCATTTAAAGACTCTCCTCCCAACTTTTGCATCTGAAAGAGAAACTCCTACAAATGCATAAGGTCAGCTGCAAAAATAACCCTGTACACGCCTTTTCAGTGCTAATTTTTCACTGTCTTTAGTAAATCCTGACAGTAGTTTTATAAAGAGTGTTGGCACTGGAGCAAGCTGTTAGTAAATCTGGCCCTTAGACTTGATCAATGACTACTTTCTGTCACAGTTTAGAACTAAAACTTGTGTGTCTTTTCTCTGCTGATCAATCTGTTTCTCACTCATTGCTTAAGAATAATGCACTCCGTGAGGACATTGTTATTTTTATACATACCTCATTGTTTGCATGACACTACAGAACAGACTGAAACATTGTCACACATCTTGAATGGCCGCTAAACCAGATGCTAATTTGCGCAGCTCTTGGTATATTTTGGATCGTCTGTCATTATGGAAATGATCCAGCTGCGTCTGTTTTCATTACCCATACACAAAATAAATATATTTGAAATATATTTTCAGAATTGAATACAGTTATATAATGTGTGCAGTGTTAGACACTGAGTTCTATCTATTGCTTCACTGTTGGAGTGTCATGTAAGTATTTATTATAGCTGTGTCATAATACAGTGGTGAAATATGGTAGCATAGGGGAAAAGGTAGAGGAATTACTATGATCAAAATACATTTTCGACCCCTCTTTAGCAAGCGAAACATTTTTTGACCATATAGTTTGTTGCCCAAACGCCCCAAAAAAGGGCTAACCGGCTAGCAAAGAACTGTGCTCTGTCTGATATTATATGCATCCGCCATATATATGGAGGAGACGGTGTTCCTTGTAGCCAAAACAACTGAATGACATGCTTACAGTTTTTCTCGATTGCTTAAACACATTTCTTGAAACTTTGCCTCGTATTCTCAAAACAGTAAACACAAATCCATAACGTCTCGCCCAATTCGGTCAAAATGAAGCTCTACACTCAAAACCATTCACTCTTGCTGAAAAACCAAACTTTGCCCTCAGACATCACACACAAGCCCTCACAAACGCACACACTACAACATAGTCTAACACACTGGTGCAATAAACTCAAAACAACATTTCCAAAACTGGTAAGTTCTGTTGCTTGTGGTTCCCCCCTCACACACCTTTTCACATGATGAACACAAAAGACACAACCAATGGATACATTGGCACATATTTATTCATTCATGTACTGTACAACACACATAAAAATGATTTTGCCTGTTCCCCGCTAGCACGCATCAACTAATATATTTCGCAGGCTTCTTCCAATTCATCGTCTCTGTGTTTTAGAAAAATAGAAGTACTGATTACTGTAACTGCAACACATCCTTTTTACAAAATGTAAGCATTAGGGGTGGGGAAAAAAATCGATTCTCGATGCATCGCGATGCGGACGTGGACGATCCTGAATCGATTCACAAATATCAAAAAATCGAT